AAAACAATGATTTTTGTACTTGAAGTTAAGTTTAAATCTGTATATATTTAGTTATAGATTAAATAAAAATTATATGGTGAAATAAAAGATTTAATATATCTGTTGGCTGAAAAAAAACAAAATAATAACAATTTTATTTTAATATTTTTAATTTTCATTCTTTTGTAATTTCTCTACATAATTTCCATTTATTTCAATACATTTCTTAAGTCAATAGAGCCACATCAAAACATTCCTCAAAAGTAGGTTTTTATGGTTTTCCAACTAATTTTTGAAAACTTGTGGTAAGCAAGTTTTTGTGTAGTACTTAACAGTTACCCTCTGACTAGTTTCAAGTGAAATAACACCCTTTTACCCTGGTAAAGTGAACAGAAATCATCACTTTTGTTGCTGATTTTTGTTGTCTTGCTTTAACTGGGGGGATTTGTACTTTCTGCGTTCTATATAGTTTCCAGGTCAAACTTATAGAATCAAGATTCATCATCTGTTACGTTTTTAATATAATGTTAGAATCTCGATTTCAAAGTTTTCCAAGAAATATTGGGCAAAACGAACATTTAAAAAACGTGGAACCCATCGAGCGGATTTTTTCGTGCAGCCAAAGTGGTGATTTAATAAATAGGCTTCTTGAAATTTGACATGAAATATCGTTAGAATACAACAAGTTGAAAAACAACTTTTGTTTTTTCAGAAACAATTGAATTAATACCAACTAACCGAACTTTTGTTATACTTTTGTATAAACAAATTTAGAATACGAAGTTTTCATGTAACAAAATTATTGAATTTGAGCTAAAACTTTTGAATTTAATGATTATTTATTGGAAATTGTGACTTCCAATATTGAAATTTTAAATATAGAAATTACATTTTAATCTGTGTTTTGTTAAAAACTATTTGTTACTTAATACTTTTTGGAATAATATGATTATATAACATTTAAATCTAATAAAATGTTTAAAATCCAATGAATATAGGAGAAGTGCGTTGAGTTTCATGTTGAACTTTAGAAGTAAATTTGATGAAAATGAACGAGGATCGCGCATAATTAAAGTAACTTTAAATGAGTCGTTTAAAGTAATCTATTTAATGGAGTACATACAAAAAAATATGAATAGAGAGAGAGCAATGAACTGAAGCATTGACATTCCCTATTCAATTGCGCGAAGAAGCAAACTTGTGCAATTAAAAAATGCTTTACTCATGAAAACTGAAATATTTCAGAAACTATTGTTGAGTTTTTTGATAAAGTTGTATACAATATTATTTGTAATTTGAAATAAAGATATTATTCGGGTACATAAACATTTGTTTAATTGCTGGAATTATGTAATATGCACTTTAGATATTTGATTTCTAAACTGAAATACTGTAGAAGCTATTGTTGATTTCTTCGAGGATGTTAAAAAGTAATAAAAAAAATATTATTTGCAGTTTAAAGTTGAATAATAAAATTAATTTGTAGTTGTAAACTTTTGTATTTCAAATTCTTGTATTGAAAACTGAAATATTTCAGAATTTATAATAAAGTTATGTACATTAGTGATTCAATTATTAAATTCTTCATTTGTAAACTGAAATATTGCAAAAACTATAAATTATAATCTGCAGTTTAAAATAAAGATATTTATTGAAGTATTGTGAGTTATGTAAGTGTAGAATAATAAAATTCAATTGCAGTTTGCAAGAAGAGAAATCCCTTTGCTTCTAAATCTGCGAAACTTTGAAATATCGCAGAAACTTTTGTTGTATTTTATAGTATAGTAACAAGCAATGTAAATTGTTGTTTGCTTGTTTGAAATGAAGATATTATTCGGATACGTACACATTTGGAATTATGTAAGTGTGCGGCAGCGAACACGTATGAAATATGGATTTCGAGCGTGGAATGTGTGCAACAAATGATTCCTTGCGCCTTTGCCGGATTTCTAAACTTGCTCCTTTTTGCATAACACCAAATAATCTTATGCTCTATTGAGCAGATCTCTGGGATCGTGCCAACGCCGAAGCATTGTTGTTATGCTGATTTTCATTACCACTCGAAGGAAATCCGTTAATTCGGTCACTGCGTATTTATTTCACACATACAAAAAAAGAAGTTATATCAACATTTTCGAATTACAACTGTTTCATAAAGTTGTTAAAGACATATCAAAAGTTAAATTGTCTTTTTGTTGTAGTTTTGTTTGGAAATGAGACATTACAGTTGTAGTAAAGGGGATAGATTGTATTGTAAGTGTAGGTGTACTAAAGTTTAGGATCATAATAGTTTTTTTTTGTCCTGTATATAAATTTATGGGGGATTTTTTGGCATGTGGAAAAGTGGTATTGGTGTTTCCCACGAATCGGTTCCTGTGTGAATGAGCCAATTTCCTCGTGCGCTTTTAAAGATATATAAAGAGAGGGCGAATAAGGGAGGATTCGCTTGTGTACAGCTGCTGCCCGCATCCTGCAGATGAGATATTGAAATCCCGTGTACACAGCATCCGAGCGCGTTTACCAAACTACTTAGTCACACCATCAGTTAACCGATACTTACTTTCCCACATACTTAACTATCGATTAGTTAAGTTTAACGCCAAGTTTTGTAAAATTCTCTCTTAGTTTAATTGATCGAATTCCCTTTGGAGAGGAGAGGGAGTTTCGGTTCTTCGGCCGCAAACCGTATTTAGCCAGTTTCATCCAATTACGTAATGAATCGAATTTCCATCGAAAATTCAGAAAGTCCTTGGGTTTTGAGGGAAGGAGTTTATTGCCGTCTAAGAACCGTGGTCATTGAACCCAAACCTTATTTTTTTGTCCCTTTTCGGTTATTTCTTTCTTTTATTTTCTCTTTCGTCCTTTGAAATTTAGTACCTCTGCAGTCTCAACCCATTTGACAAGTCTATTCAAATTGATTAGCATCAAACTGACACTTGATAAAAACAAGTTTTTAGACAGCTGTAAACTTGATATTTTAACATAAACTTTCAAGTTGAAATCTTTAACTACTAACAGGGCTTTTAATGAGGACACAGGACATAATTATTTGAAATGATTCAGTTTCCAGATTTTTCTGAAATTTTTTAATATTTATTTCAGTTTTAAAGCATGTTTAAAAAAAAAACATTCGTTACTCAAGCATTTGCTTCTTTTTTTAATTTATTTCAATAATATTGTTTTGAATTTCGTAGGAAGCATTTAAATATTAACCTTGTTGATTATAATATAATTATTTGTTGCAATGATAATGTTTTAAAATGATTTATTTCTTAATATAAGAATAACTTAAATTTGTAATAGTAATGAGGTTTTAATGAGGACACAGCACATAATTATTTCCAATGATTCAGTTTCCAGATTTTTTTGAAATTTATTTATTTCAGTTTTAAAGCATTTGTGAAAGCATGCTTAAAAAAACATTTGTTACTATTGACAGGGATGTTAATTAAAAGCATCCACTTCAAAAGTAAGAAAGTGTGAAGTGATTTTAGAGATTTTTATTATTTTTTTCTGAAATTTATTTATATTTGTTTCAGTTTTAACGTGTTTGTGAAAGCATGTTTAAAACAATCATTCGTTACAATTGACAAGGGTGTTAAATTAACTAAGGGCACCCACTTCAAAATTTACAGGCTGTCAAGTGTTGATGCAGTTTCCAGATTCTCTCTTTTTTTGTGCGTAAATTTAAATTTGTATCAGCTGTGTCGAGTGACCAATAAATTCGTTCTTCGACGAACTGTGAACTTCTGTAGGACGTATCGAATATCCATCCAATATCGAATATCAAAACCGCAAGAACAATGCGTTCCTTTCAGATGTCCTGTACATAACGATAATAATTCCTCCCTATTTACTGGTTCTTCGAGGGGAGCAAAACACATACAAAAAATATATAATAATAATAAATGTAACACGTTCGCAAAAGAAACGCACGGCGTGGTACGAGAAAATTGTGTGGGAAATTGGTCTGGTGGACCGCAGGAATATTGCAAGAAGTCGATTTATGATTTATGTTGGAATTCCATCCGCCGAGCTGATGTTTGCCAGAAAACGATAAGTTGCAGTAAATTATTGCGTTTCGTGACTTTTACAAAAAAAAGAAGACGTGTTTTGTGGGCGATTCTTGTAATAATATATTTGATGTATGCGTTTCCACATTTAATATACAAGAACAATATAGAATTCAATTAAGAACTTATTTTGATTATATTTTTAATTTGACGTTCTTTTGACATTTGACAGCTTATTAAAGTTAAGCAACGCGCTCTTGGATTGATAACGAATCATTGATTGTTTTCAGTATGACAGATATCAGTGACGTATGACAGACATCAAATTTTAACACATATTACTCACAACCTTAAATAGAACTATAAATTAACTATGATCTATTGATTTATTCTATAAATAAGCTTCTATAAATTATATATGATTCATTGATTAATTTCTGACTCCCCCTACGAATGTGTGTTTAAATAAGAGATCCCTATTCATAAAAAAAGGAATTCTGTGTCCGAAATGTCCCCTCATGAGGGTCGTTTCAGTTCAGAAGCGTAACCAAAAATTCTATTATAATGGTATGAGGGTTCAGTCGATGCAGATTTCATGCTGGAAGCAAAACCCTGTCCAATCATGTTTTCTAATCTAACAGATGTTTCATCAGCATGTATTTAGTTAGAGAAATGGGTTAAAAGTATTAAATTTCCTAAATTGAAAAAAACGAAGTGTTAAGTTATGTATGAGGTTATAAAAAATAGAGATAGTTTTTTTTTATTGTTATTTATTATGTATCAAATTAGACATATTATTAATTACAGCTCTAATGTTGTGACACAATTGTTAGTCAGGTTTACCAATTCGATATTACTAAATTCACAAAAATAACTAAAAATGTATGAAAAAAAAATGTAATTTTTAATCATTTAATAAATATACAAAGTTGTGAATATTTGTCAATTTGCCTGATTTAATAATTGATTTTTTTTTCAAACAACAAGAAACAAAATATGCGTGGAAAAAAGAAACAAATCGTTTTGTCATGTATAACAACTTAAATGAAATTAAGTCACTAAAGTTATTTAATATATTTCAGACACTTATGAGACAAATCAGGTATAGTGTGTACGCAGCAGAGCTTTAGAACAATGCTTAGTAATAGCAGCTTTTCGTAATGTATCGTTTATTTAACGTGGTAATTATTCATTAATTATGTAAAAGATGCTACAGTCAGATAAGATGCAGTACGGGGTGAAGCATTGTGCGAGAATGTAGGTCAATAGACCGGGTACACACTTCACACAATGCACACATTCACAAAGAATGCAAACAAGCTCACAAAGACTACAAACCGCTCAACTAGTAGTTTGGTAGCAGCAGGAACGTACAGCAAGCAGCATTGTTTCCGCTTTCCTGACGCTAGTTTCCGGACGTCCGGTCTATTACTGCGGGGCGATACTCTTCGTTTTTGGGGAATCCTCGCATATGGAACCTTTGCCGAGAGCGGCTTGCTGCTTCCTCATCTACAATAAAGGAGAATCGGAGAAGACGGGTTTTTAATTTTACATAAAGATTTTATTTGGATTGTAAAACGATGCTACACCGATTCTATCTGCTGCTCGTTCTTGACTTGCTCCTCGAGTAGTAGCTCTTCGCGCCGGATGTCCCGGAACTTCTTGATGTTATCCTCCTCGGCGCAGAAATCGGTGAACAGGTGGAAGTACTCTATCTCTTCTTCGGTGATCGGTTGCTCTACCGCTTTCTCCGCGGCTTTCGGCCTTTGCTGCATTGACCTATACTTCAACTCTGCAACAACAACAACAAATAATTATTTTCACAATCGATTATTTTGTGATTTCAATGAGACAAATTACCTCTGACGTGCGTTTCTATTGGAATCTCCAAGATTCTGCGTAATCGTTTCACCAGTCTTTCGATCTGGATGACCTTCCGCGAAGCTTCTAATGCCACCTTCATTATCCTTGTCTGCTCGTTGTAGCAGTCGATCTCCGCTTTGTGGACCTTCTCATGAGCCAAATAGTCCAATTTCAATAACCATTCTCTGTACTTCATTTCAACAGACTTCATCATATCGTAAGCGGTCAAGTTAGCGTCATTTGGAGCGACCCGAGCTTCGTAAACATCTTCAACGATTACGTGCAGATTCAAAGCCGTTTCATCGCAGATTAACCTCTTGAATTCACCATTGATCAATTCCCTAGCTAAAAACTCCAAAGTTCTAGCCCTATCCTCTTCCCAACTAAAAACAAAGCTATAACATTACAATTTAACTAAAACTTATATCTTACAGGATTTCCCCTTCGAGATCATCGATGATCTCCTGAAAGTTTTGCAGCTGAATATCGTACGTAGCTTCGGTGGTCTTCATCGACTCTTTTAGATCTTCTAAGGGCGTAGCTAATTCTTCGGAATGCAACAGCGAATTCAAGTTTTGCAATTCCATGAACTTAAACACTCTCGAGAGTTCCTTAGGTTTATCGAAGTACAGTAAAGGTTCTCGGTTCTCTTCGAGATCCTCCATGAAGTTTTTGATAATGTCATCCAGAGATTTAGCCTCGGTGGCGCTTTGGGAAGATTCGAAGAACTCTTCAGGTTCGGCCAATTCCACTGAAGTATTGTCGTCCTTCTGTATGATATGGTAAAAGTCGTGTTCTTTGCGCCAATGCATGGGGCTCACTAAGTACAAGAACTTTTGATACATCTTGGCGTACCTCCACTTTTCTTCTAAATTATTCACTTGCGACTTCAACATTCCAAAGTCTTTAGCAAGTTCTCTGTATTGCTCGTACTTCTCGAAAGCTTTATTTGCTTCGTTTTCGCTAGCCCTTAACAAATCCATGGATATTGCGTGGTCTTTGGATAAGAATTCTTCGAAGGTTTTTACGTAAGTGTTGTACTGTCGGGTGATGTCGTCAATCATGTTCTGCTCTTCAATCAAATTCTCTTCGATTAGCATAGAATCATCCGACCTGTAACCGGTGACGATCTTAGTCCTCATAATGTCCCTCAAATTATCGATGTAATCCTGCAGCTGGAATTTCCCGGCGATCGGACGACCCTCGATTATCATGTAAAATTCCGAGTCCACGTCAAGGATTGTCTGCGCGGATTTAACATCCTGTGTCGGCACGTACAGCCTATTCAGCATATCCCTTTGATGTCTGGTTATGTAATTATTGCGATCGTTGTACTTCAGCTTCAGCTCTTTGCGTCTTTCGGTCGTCTCCCATTTCTTCGACATCACCTTGAACGCGAAAGCGTCCAGTTCATCCGGATACTTAAACGGTGACGCCTCTTGCAGAACATCGCGCATATTTGTGTTGTTCACTTTCGATCCGTCGGAGAAGTAATGGTCTTTCACGTGCGTTTTGGACCCGAAGATTCGCTCCAGCGGCGGCTTGGCCTTGATAATAGCCTCCTTCGTCTTCTTCTGCTTCAGCGACTTCTTCCGTTTCGGCGCATTGTTGAACAAGCTTCCAGTAGACATCGTGTCAAAAATAAAAATCGACAGAAAAAATGTTGTAGAAATTGTGTTACGTTTTAAAAGAAGAAACGCATTTGACGTTGCGTCAGAACGGCTTTCTGAAAACGAACTGAAAAGGTTACGGATTTGTTTGGTCGATACGTTTAGTATCCATGACGACGCGGGTAAATAATGACTGCGAATAAAGGAATAGAAATGCTTTTAAATTGTGTTTAATAGGAAAAGTTTTGATGATTTATAAAGGGTATAAATCGCTACTTTCTGGACAAGTTACTCTCGTATTCCTTAAAAATTAGTATTCATTTACTTCATGACCATCTTTTAACAACATAGAAAAATATATTTATACCAAAACTTTGTCAAATTAAAAGAGACAATTTATTAGTACTTTATATTGGACATTTGTCTAGTGGCAAGACGGAAATTGATTTGCAGATACAGCTAATTCGTCCTCGATTCATCCATATCCATCACAGGTAATAATGATTACAGAATTACACTTTTTTTGTTCATCGTTCATCCTTTTCCAGTTTGGAATGATGATAATAACTGCTCCTTTTTCGCCACAGATGTTTTGTTACGCAATCCCGATATGTTTATGAAGCGGGGACCGGCGGCAACGGCAGATGATCACCTGCTACTCGCAGCAATCTCGCCAAACGGACGACACCCGTTACGTAATTGCGATTTTAGTCAGCATCTGCACGAATCTAATGGCATATCGGATTTATTTCGAGGACACAGGTTTTTTTCTTCTTCCGTTTGTCGCAATTATAAATAGCGAACGTATCGATTGTTGCGTAACGTGTTTGAAGCGGATGATCTCTTCGGTGGCGGCATTGGAGGCGGCGTCGAAAAGGGGCAGGTGGGCAACTCCGAACCTGCGTTCGCACAGTGTGCGGGGGTTTCGGTATTGATCGTCACCGCACAGTCAACTGGGTTAGTGTATTTCTCCACTGACACCACATGATACAAGCCTCGTCGTACACCCCTGCAGAAAACCCATCAAGGTCGACCATCATCCGTACGATTCATCTGAATATTTCATAACTGCCCTGATGAGGATCCTTTGCAACTGAATGCACCGAATTCTATATTTACATTTCATTGGACGGATTCGGATGTGCAATCTATTATGTATTGATTTGACGGACAGAATCTGCAATTACCGTTGATCTATCCTCCACCCAATTATGTTACGATCGCGTTTAATGTCATATCGGTTTCAGGAAAGAAAGGTCATCCAATTTCATTCCGTTCTATACTTAGATCTGTTCTATTTAATTCAGCGGTCGGGGAACTTTTTTAACCATTACCCCAAAATATTATTGCGTAAGTCGATATTACCCCCCCCCCATTCTGAATAGAAAACAATCAATGTAAATTTTAAATAAACATTATTTATTGAATTAATTTACATATTTATAAAAAAGAGTTACATGAAAATAGTAACAAATAGTAATAGACAAACAAAATAAAATTCTAT